ATATTACTGTTCATACCTTATTCTTGCTGTTGTCATTATACTTGAACAAGTCCAGTAAAAAACGGAGAACTTCAGGGGGGATAATTCCATGCACCGTCCTCAGACCTGCCATAGCAACAGGAATAGTCTAAAATATAGAAAATCACAACAAAAGCTTCATTAATAACAGCCATACAGTTTAGTGATAGTTTTAACTTAAATATACTTGCCTCAAATCTTTGGTTAACTGTCAAATACAATAATAAAAAAAATTATTCAAACTTCTGACTAGAAAACACCCTCAAATTTTTAAAATATTGAGTAAAACTTATCAATCAAACCTTTTGAATAAAGTATCGTTGAAAGTTGCTAAAGTTATTCTGCCGGATGATATTAGGAGATGAATGGGAACTGAACATTTTCTTAAATATCATCATCATGGCTGGAGGGCCTGTCCAAGTTGTAACCATTGCATTTGCCACCTGGTGATAAAACACAAAACCAAGGCAGTGAGAAACTGCATTCAAATGTTTTATATATAATTCTACGACAAACATAGGTAGTATATATATACACACAACAAAACTCCATATAACTAAGTAAATAAAGAATAATGTAAACAAGATAAATTCAAATTTAATAAATTTAACCTGATCCATTAGTAAATAACTCGTTTGTTTAGTGTTTTGAAACTACTTTGCAAAAAAAAAAGGTTAAACAACATATTTAAAAAAAAAACAATTATTAGGTACCATAATTAAAAAAAAACAACAACTATAAAACATTATTTGACGTTATAAAGAAAAATAACATTCAATTCAACATATTTTTAGCATTAACCACTGAAATAAATTCAGTTACCTTTTGTAAACACATTGCAGCTAAACATCTGACTCTGTAAAAACACTGTTCATTTTCAATGGTGTCTGTTAGTGCTAACCGAGTTGATGGAATGGGATACCTCTCTAATGATGTAATAGCCTGAAATAAAGTATTTTCATATCTATGTATATAATATTTAAGAAATTTCCGTCAATATCACATTTTATGTGAAAACATCCAATTCAACACATTCACACTGGACTAATATAAGATGTAAGCACTGTTAAGCTTTCGATATTAATTGAATATGTAACTTATCCAGCAACATGATCCAGACATCATTCTGATCCTAGAAAACTACTGATTATTAACTGATTCAGCAACATGATCCAGATGTCATTCTAATCCTAGAACACTACTGATTATTAACTGATCCAGACATCATTCTGATCCTAGAACACTACCGATTATTAACTGATCCAGACATCATTCTGATCCTAGAACACTACTGATTATTAACTGATTCAGCAACATGATCCAGACGTCATTCTGATCCTAGAACACTACTGATTATTAACTGATCCACATCATGTCATTCTGATCCTAGAACACTACTGATTATTAACTGATTCAGCAACATGATCCAGATATCATTCTGATCCTAGAACACTACTGATTATTAACTGATTCAGCAACATGATCCAGATGTCATTCTGATCCTATAATGTTAATGATACATAACAGATTTAGTAACACCAAAAAAAAACAACTGTTAAAATTAAAATGAATTAATTAATGAGTGATTTTGTCTCAATCAACATAATCTCTAAACTAGAACTCCTGTATGGAATACAGTAAAAGCTTACCTCTATCTGTCTCAATCAACATAATCTCTAAACTAGAACTCCTGTAGGGAATACAGTAAAAGCTTACCTCCATCTGCGTCAATCAACATAATCTCTAAACTAGAACTCCTGTAGGGAATACAGTAAAAGCTTACCTCCATCTGTCTAGAACTCCTGTAGGGAATACAGTAAAAGCTTACCTCCATCTGAGCGGTGACATCCCTTTCATAACGTAGTTGGTACTGCCATTGGTAGTCTGGCTGCTCAAACACTACTTGTCTTAACAGTTGAAAATCAGGGTCTACACGGATCCACAACACAGGAGAATCTGCACTGCAACCATAAAAAGATTTATTAGATAATTAAACAATTCATAAAACAAGCACCATGTGTCTTAACAGTTCAAAATCAGGGTTGATCCACAATCCACCATAAAAAGATTTATTAGATAATTAAATAATTCAAAAAACAAACACTACCTATCTTAACAGTTGAAAATGTGGATTGTGTGAATCCATAACACAGTGTTTCTAAATAATTATTAAAATTATTTTAACAATTCCACAAATACCATATATATGAACACTTGAAAGTATGGATTATGTAAATCTACAACAGAGAAAAATCTCTAAAGTATCCAAGTAATTAAAAAAAGGAATTCACAATCCCCCAAATAGTTTTCTGTTAATCTTTATAAGATTTAAACCCATTTCTATTCCAAACAGTAAACCCTAGTGGGCTGAAAAAACATAAAATCTTTCTTGATATCAAACTTACTCCATCGAACTCAGGTCCATGTCTACCTCTTCTCCTGTACACAGTGAATCTATATAAGATTTAAACCCGTTTCTATTCCAAACATAAAATCTTTCTTGATATCAAACTTACTCCATCGAACTCAGGTCCATGTCTACCTCTTCTCCTGTACACAGTGGTATCTTTTTCTTCTTATTTCTGTACAAGCAGCAAAAAAAATTGAAACAGTACAGGAAGATTATAAAATACTTCTTAATAACTCAGTCAAATGTTTTAGAAAATAGATTTACTTGTTTACAACATCAACAACAGGAATCAAAATAAGTGTGGATTGTGGTTTTAAAGCCAATGATTGCAATGCCTCTTAATACAGGACCTCTACAAAGTCATCAGGACCCCTACAAAGTTATTACTTTTAGTTCCCGCTTTTGTTTTTCTTGTAATACACACATTTATCATCTTCCTTCTAAGAAATCTAGAATTTACCTTTGACTAAAAAATGACAGGTGATGTCGTGTCAAGTAGGGTTCTCTTATTTCTGACTAAAGAATGACAGGTGATGTCGTGTCAAGTAGGGTTCTCTTATTTCTGACTAAAGAATGACAGGTGATGTCGTGTCAAGTAGGGTTCTCTTATCTTTGACTAAAGAATGATAGGTGATGTCATGTGAAGTAGGGTTCTCTTATTTCTGACTAAAGAATGACAGGCGATGTCATGTCAAGTAGAGTTCTCTCATCTTTGACTAAAGAATGGCAGGTGATGTCATGTCAAGTAGGGTTCTCTCATCTTAGACTAAAGAATGACAATGATGTCATGTAAAGTAGGGTTCTCTTATCTTTACTAAAGAATGACAGGTGATGTCAAGTAAAGCAGTAGTATTCTCTTACCTTCGACTCTTGGAGTGGCAGGTGATGTCATGTCGAGTAGTATTTTCTTCTATTTGTAAGTTGTGCTTAAATGTTCCATCTAACTCCTGAATGGTCACTGTTAGTGGACCCTGGAAGATAACTCATGAAGTTTATGGTAATAAAAAGTCTTTGGACTTTAAGAATAGCAAAAAAAATCCTACAACTTATTTTAAGTTATTGCTACAAAGTCAATAATGTACGGTTTAATATGACTTAATCATAGTGATTGATGTAACCTTATCATTAGGTGCAATAATTAAGGCACAACAAAATGAGGAAAACTTTGTTTTCAGACAGATCAAATGTTCGGTTGGATAACTTAAATTAACTATAAAATACATGGTGCACATCAATCCATTTGTTTATAGTTTGTTATATGACATTGCAAACAAACGAAACAAAAACTACTGGATTAAATAATTTTTCACTTCAGAATTACTTTCTACAAATAATGTACATTCTGTACATAAAATATCTTAATTATATGTGATACTTGTACGAGTTTGCAGCTTTAAAAATTCAAAAAAGATTTGATTGTATGTTTTCAGAAAAAATTTTAAATACCTGTTCCTTTTTGTGGAATTAAATTACGGATTTATTTGTATATCTACAATTCTGTAAAACTTTCCTGCAAAGTTTTTATCTTTAAAAACTGTAAATTTTATCCATGCTTTGATTCGAAAAAACCACACCACACAGTTTTACTGTCCTTAAGATCACTGAATAAAAATAACTTTTTAAATTTATTAATTGAAAGATTTCCTTTAATATAGGTAATACATTTTATATCCATTTATATATATTTT